GGGCACGGCAGCTCCTGGTTATTTAAGGAAAACAAGGATGGGAACGGTGTGGGAAGAGGGCATTTAGGGAACTTGGGCATTTAGAGAACATCCCTGGCCCGTGGGTCAGGGATGGGTGTGGAAATGCTGGGGGATGATTGGATTTGGTGACCTTGGAGGGCTCTTCCAACCGGAATAATTCTGCGATACACAGCGAACCCGTGCCCTCGTGGGTGGGTGGAGAGGCCAAATCCCCTCTGAGGTGAGGAGATCCTCATGTGAGGAGGGCACGGCAGCTCCCGGTTTTTAAGGAAAACAAGGATGGGAACGGTGTGGGAAGAGGACATTGGGGCGACCTGGGCTGTTGTTTGCCCGTGCCTCACCTGGCTGGGAGGAGCGGGGTAGTTTGTGGACACGAAGGGCTGCAGGTGGGAATTTTGGCGGTCACGGATGGCCGAGTTAATCCCTTTTCCTTCCCCTGCTGCCAAGGCCTCGTGGTTTCTCTCACCAACGTCTGGAAAGCACCTGGGACTCCCAGCTCCGGGAGCTGCACTCACCCGGAATAACCCCCCGAGCTCCTCAGGGCATTGGAGACACTTCCAGAGCCCTTGGAGGGCGTTGGGATGGACCCAGGGTGATGAGAAATCCGTGGGGAACGATTGGAATGATGCTGGAACAAGTTTGTGGTGACTTTGACCCCAAAAGTTTACTCCTGCCATAGCTGAGAGCATCAGGGAACTGGGGTTGTTTGTCACCCACGTCCTCGAGGTACCTCAGACCTCAAATCCCCCTCGAATCCCCAAAATCAGGGATCACAGAGCAGGAATGCTCAATGGCTAAACTAATACAGCCCTGCATTAATCAATGTTAATTATTCCTAAATTAATAACGAAGTACAACCAAGCGAATGATGAAACGTTAACAGAATAATACTAAACAAATTAATAAAGCCTGCGCTCATTTTTTTACGGATAACTCCACCTGCCCAGGACCTCTGCCAGCTTCCAGGGAAACACCCGCTCCCTTTTCCAGCTTTTTCAAACCCCGTTTGTTTTATCCTTTCCAGCTCCTGGATCTGTTCATCCAATGGGATTGGTCGACGTATTTGGCCGACTACGGGCAGCCCACGTGCAAATACCTTCGCGTGAACCCCACCACAGCCCTCATCCTGCTGGAAAAGTGAGTGTGCCCCCAAATCCCGAGGGAATTCCCACCCCCGTCGTGCTCTAGCAGCATTTTCCACCCCTGGGAGCAAAGATCTCGGTCTGGGTGGACAGAGGGAGCTCAGATGGAAAAATCCCATCTCATCCCGCTGACCCCATTCCCGCGTTACCCAAATCCAGCGGCTTGGCTGCGGGTCCTTCTTTTATTGGCTCTTAAGCGGTTTTCCTTGTCCCACCGGAAAATTTCGCTGTAAAGGTGAACCTCCGGCTCCGAAATCCCTTAAAATGTGCTGGGCTGCAGGCAGGAGTGGCTATCCCAAATTTTTTAGTGTTTGGGAGGCGTTTGGGCAATGCCATGAACAGCTTTTGGTCATGAAGTGGTTGGGCAGTTGGACCACGTTGCTGCAGCTTCCCCTCCACCTGAGAATATTCTGGTTTATCCCATTCTGTTTCTGTATTTCTGTACTTCTATTTCTTTTTGTTTCTACATTTCCATTTTCATTTCTATTTCTATATTTTGAATTGTATTTATATGTTTATATTTTGGTATCTCTATTTCTATTTACTTCTCTATGCATTTCTATTTCTGTATTTTTATTTCTATATTTATTTCTATTTCTATATTTTTATTTCAACATTTCTGTATTTCTATATTTCTACATTTCTATATTTCTATTTCTATTTGTTTCTATAGTTCTATTTATTTCTGGTTTTATTTCTATTTCTGTATTTTTATTTCTACATTTCTGTATTTCTATATTTCTACATTTCTATATTTCTGTATTTATATATATTTATTTATATATTTATATATTTATATATTTCTAGATTTCTATATTTCTAGATTTTTTTATTTCTATAGTTCTATTTCTGTTTTTATTTCTATTTCTGTATTTTATTTCTATTCCTATATTTTATTTCCTATTTATTTCTGTTTCTGTATTTTTAGCTATATTTCCATATTTTCATACTTCAATATTTCCATATTTCTATATTTCCATATTTCTATTTATTTCTATATTTTTATCTCCATTTCTTTCTACTTCTACACATCCCCACGTTTTTATTTCCATCTCCCTCTATTCCCATTCACTCCTGTTCCCACTTCTCCCACGGGGATCCCGGAGATCCCGAATCCCGATCCCGTGGGGCCGGAGGAGCCTCTGGAGAACCCTCGATCCATCCTTTGAGGGCCACGCTTCCCATGCTCCGCACGGCTCCATCCCGAATCCTGGAGCGGAGCCGGGAACGGCTCCCGGGGCTCCGGGGTGGCTCCCGGGGGGCTGAGCCCGTTCTGCGGGAACGCCGCGGGATTTTCCCGCAGGAAAAGCGGGATTTGCTTTGCCTGTCACCCCTGCCCGTGGTGGGTCTCCCAGATGATCTCCGCTGGTCCAGCTCCAAGCTGGCTTGGGAAGGATCCACCCTGCTCCCGCTCCCGGCAGACCTCCCAGGCCGTTTTCCAGAGAACGAGCCAAAAAGTGGGAATTTGGCGTTTTCCGAGCGGCTCCCGGCACGGGCGCCGCGCTGCTGGGTCCTGTGTGGAGGAGCGAGCAGGAGAGGGGATCCTCGTGGAATCATGGAATGGTTTGGGTGGGAAAAGGGCCTTAAAGCCCATCCAGATCCGTGGGCACAACGCCTCCCACTATCCCAGGCTGCTCCAAGCCCTGTCCAACCTGGTCTTGGACACTTCCAGGGATCCTGGCACCTTGGATGTTCTTCTGGAAGTGTGGCCCCAACCCTAAACTCATCACCCCCTCCTCGAGGAGAAGGAGAGACCCCAGATCTCCTCAAACTGCTCCCCACGCTCTGATTCCGTGCTTAATCCAAACCAAGCTGCATCCCTGGAAGTGTCCAAGGCCAGGTTGGACGGGTCTTGGAGCATCCTGGGACAGCGGTGGCACTGGATGGGCTTCAAAGGTCCCTTCCAACCCAAATTTTTCATGAATCTCTGATTCTGTGAGTGGCCTTGGGGTGTTTGCGAACTTCGGGGTTCCCTCTGTGTCATCGTGGCCCAGCTGCTGTCCACCAGCGGAGAAGAACGGATATCCCGGCACCTCGGGACACCCCGAGGGCACCAGGGAGGGACACGGGCACAAAGCTGGGTTTAAAAGGACTCGCACGCCTCGTGGCGTTGTTTTTACGCTGCTGTTTGATGGGCTGAGTTATCTCTGGGTGATCCGGGGCCGTGGGGTGGAAATGCCAGGGGATGGGTGGATTTGGTGACCTCGGAGGGCTCTTCCAGCCAGAATAATTCCGTGTTACACGGCAAATCCACGACCCAGCGTCCGAGATGAGAGAGGTTTACTCAGAGCTGACGGTAAAATACTGAAACAAAGGGACGCCCAAAATCTGGGAGCTCAGCCATGCAGCTCCTGGAAGAGCCGGGGAATTGAGATCATAGCAGAGGCTGGGAAGGTGGTGGGACAGCAGGAGAGCAGCTCCAACCCCCAGCCTGGCTCACTCCATAAAGTCATGGAATCATGGAATGGTTTGAGTTGGAAGGAGCCTGAAAGATGATCCCATTCCCACCCCATCCATGAGCAGGGACACCTCCCACTGTCCCAGGTGGATCCAATCCCAGTGTCCAACCTGGCCTTGGGCACTCCAGGGATCCAGGGGCAGCCACAGCAAATCTGGGAATTCCATTCCAGCCAGGAATTCCTTGCCAAGATCCCAGCCCAAGCTCCCCTTTCCCAGGGGGAGCCATTCCCTGGCTCCTGTCCCTCTGTCCCTTGTCCCCAGCCCCTCTCCAGCTCTCCTGGAGCCCCTCCAGGCCCTTCAAGGGACTCTGAGTTCTGCCTGGAGCCTTCCCTTCTCCAGGGGAATATTCCCAGCTCTCCCAGAGCAGAGGAGCTCCAGAATCCTGGAATGGGTTGGGTTGGAACGAACCTTAAGGATCATCCCATTCCCATCCCATCCATGGGCAGCGACACGTCCCACTGTCCCAGGCTGCCCCAAGCCCCAGTGTCCATCCTGGCCTGGGCCAGTGCCAGGGATCCCCTCTGAGGGTCCCTGTCCATCCCCCACGAGCTCTCCGGACGCTCCGGGCACTGCCTCCCATCCCGCCGGGAATTCCGCGGGGAATTCTGAGCGGGGCCGGCCGGGCTGTCAGCTGTTCTCCTGGTTAGCTGTGTCCCTTCCCACCGCGGAGCGTCTGTCCCGGGATGTCCCGGGTGTAAGTGTGCGCTCGCTCCGGCTTTCACCCTCGCCCGGCCGGGCCCGATTGTCCGCTCTCAATGGAGCCCGAAACGCTGGAAACGCAAAGTGCCTCTGGAGCGGGGCCCTGCGCAACCCGATCCTCCCAAATGCACTAATTAGAGCTAAAAGAGGAGCTTTTACCCCGCTGCTTTCTGCCCCTCCCGGATTAATTGAGACAAAGCTCGGCTCTCTCCGAGGTGGTGTTTGTTGACAGGGCTGGGGACAGCGCCCAGCTCGCCTTTCCCTTCCTTTCACTCCTCATCCTGGGCCCGGCATCCAAACCCGCAGTTATCCCGAGGCTCTGCTCCCAGAAATGGAGCAGGGGGGCTGCACAGCCCATCCCGAATCCTGCGGGATCTGCTGTCCTGCAGGCAGCTCGATTAATTAATAATAGTTAATGTCTCGCTGCTTGCATCTTCACGTGGTGTCTGGAGATCCCAGCAGCTTCTAGATTTCACCACATCCACCTCTGTGGGTTTGTTGTGGATGCTCCCAGTTATCCCAAAGCTCTGCTCAGGAAAAAATCTGTGGATCTGCACAGTCCATCCCGAATCCTGCAGGATTCTGTGTCCTGTAGGGAAATTAATTAATTAATAATAGTTAATGTCTCAGTGCTTGCATCTTCACGTGGTGTCTGGAGATCCCAGCAGCTCCCAGACTTCTCCAAATCTGTGGGTTTTGTTAGTGGTGCTCCCAGTTATCCCAAAGCTCTGCTCAGGAAAAAATCTCTGGATCTGCACAGCCCATCCCGAATCCTGTGAAATTTTCTGTCCTGTAGGGAAATTAATTAATTAATAATATTTAATGTCTCAGTGCTTGCATCTTCACGTGGTGTCTGGAGATCCCAGCAGCTCCCAGACTTCTCCAGATCCACCTCTGTGGGTTTGTTAGTGGTGCTCCCAGTTATCCCAAAGCTCTGCTCAGGAAAAAATCTGTGGATCTGCACAGCCCATCCCGAATCCTGTGAGATTTTCTGTCCTGTAGGGAAATTAATTAATTAATAATAGTTAATGTCTCAGTGCTTGCATCTTCACGTGGTGCCTGGAGATCCCAGCAGCTCCCAGATGTTCCCAGACTTTTCCACATCCACCTCTGTGGGTTTGTTATGGATGCTCCCAGGTATCCCAAAATTCTTCTCAGGGAAAAAAAAAACATGGATCTGCACAGGCCAGCCTGAATCCTGCAGGATTTTCTGTCCTGTAGGCAGCTTGATTAATTAATAATATTTTATGTCTCAGTGTTTGCATCTTCACGTGGTGTCTGGAGATCCCAGCAGCTCCCAGATGTTCCCAGACTTTTCCACATCCACTTCTCTGGGTTTTGTAAAAGCGCTCCCAGTTATCCCAAAGCTCTGCTCAGGGAAAAAAACTGTGGATCTACACAGCCTAACCTGAATCCTGCGGGATTTTCTGTCCTATAGGCAGTTTGATTAATTAATAATACTTAATGTCTCAGTGCTTGCACATTTCCCATGGTGTCTGGAAATTCCAGCAGCTCCCAGACTTTTCCAGATCCATTTGTGTGGGTTTGTCGTGGGATCAGAGCTCCAGCTTTTCAATCCCTTTCCCTCCGGATCCGGAGGTTTATCCATCCAGCTCCTTCCCAATCATCCCAACGCACCCCAAGGTTTTCTTGCACGGAATGTGCGCTGCTTCCAAAACATTCCATGGACCTGAGCAGCTCCCATGGGGTGGGGGATGGCCCCAGAGGTGCCGGGATGAAAAGCTCCAAATTCCCAGGGTGTGGAAGGGCTGGGAAGAGCTTTCCAAAGGTACAGATCAACTTCCAGCACCTCTGAGTCCCTCTGGAACCCGGGAG